AGAACCTATTGCAATAAAACGGCAATTTCATACTTTAACCCCTAATACTTAATAATAATAATAAAAATAAAACAAATCAATTTAACGTGAATGCTTTTCCCTTCGACATTTTAGGGACTTTACAAAAATCATAATAAAAAATTGAAACATTTCAGTGAAAATTAATTGTCGATAAATATCAATCACTGTAAATGAACATCACTATATTCGAATGTAGAAATTTGTATGGAGACAAAAAGAAAACATTTATATAATAGTAAAATTAAGACGCAAATAACCGGTGGTATGGTATTCCACTGATTTTTAAATTTTTGTTTTCACTTAAATTTTTACAAGCTATAACGCTACAACCTTTTTTTTTTTTTTTTGGCATTTACACGTTTTACGAGAGATCTTGCGTGTACAACGATCTCCATATCGCTGTGGCGATGTTTGAAGGCGTGTTACCTCGATATGCGCATTTCGGGCATATCGAGGTGACACGCACCACGCCCACATACCAAATCTCCCCTTTTTTTCCTATATATATGGCTACCACCTCTCTAATCTACAACAAATAGAAACCAAAGTAAACAGAAATAGGATACTCACTTTGAGAACATAAGTTTCTTCCGATTTTGGTAGCGGCATGCTGACCAAAATTTCGCATAACGTCATCAATCTGCGAACAAAAATTCCGGGTCAATCTTTTCTTAAAATAAACTCACAAAAGTCATAATTTCCAATAATCGTATCTAAATGCAGGATTTGAAGCAAATTAATTATTTTCTTTAATAATTATTATGATATTCAAAATTTCATTTTCAATTAAAAATTAGGTTACTGAAATTTTGACGAAAAAAATTTAAAAAAAAAAACTTTTTTTGTATATATAAAATAAGTGCGCATTCCACCTCATCTTACCTGATGGAAAGTGATGATGAGGTAGACGATGCAACATGCACACCTAAATAATGGCTATTCACACTTGCCTTGAAAAGGTCCAAGTTTATAGCGTTCGGGGAATAAGTCCACAGGCAGGGAATTCCACTCTCTAGCCCCTCGCCATATAAATATGGAAGCGAAGCGCTTCGTGCGAATCCTGGGAATATCCGCAACACAGGGGTGGGATCCCAGCCCACGTTTAGTCCCCCGATGATGGAAAGGGGAAGGGGAACTAATTTATTGGTGTATTATTTGATAATTACAAAATAGTCAACTTCAAGTTTTATTTAAACCAGAAAGTAATATTTTGTTTTTTAATAGATTAACATTGGACGTGTTTGGATGCGCTACGAAGCGGTATGTCGTGTTCAAATATACATGGTGCGACATATCTAGCGTTAGCGTTTCGTTTTTCCAAATAATTTGCCCTGCTTAAACGTAAATGGAACGAATTATTCTTACACTAACAACACTTTTTCCAAATTGGTAATGTAATGACTACTACCACCGCGGTACTAATCTGTTTTAGGAATTATTTTCTGAACACTATCATCATAAAATGACCTGAGCGACAACACACAAACTTAAATATCTGTACATTTTATAAAATCTCTAAAAAAAGAAATTAATATAATTATAGATACTCATGATCATCTTGCTAAGCGATTAATTAATCTAATTTCTCCTATTAAATTTAATGTCAGGGGAGCTGCTATGTTAGAAATTATTAATTAATAAAAATCATCGCATATCTCAATGAATTTAAACTGCACTTTCTATTGTATTAAATAAAAAGTGTAATAGTGTCACTTATAAAATTGATATATATTTATTAATTTTGTTTTAACGCACACGCAAAATTTGAATCGAACACAGAACCTACTTCAAAGAAGGCAAGCGTTCTTCACAACTGTGCTATTAGGTCCAGGGGGTCGATTTATATGATATTGTACGATTTTTTTTCATTTTTATTCACATTAACCGAATTGAACGTTAAAATGTCATATTCGCAACCGAACTGAAATAACGTCACACCCGTACGATTACCCGAACTTTTCGACCGTCAAAGGACACAAACGTAATTCAGAACACAGTTAACGAATGAAAGTTACCGAACGTCCTATTGTTTACAAAGCAAGAATGTAATATGGAACTTCTTATTATTTTAAATAAAGTCTGGATTTTGTTCAATTTTAATAATTTATTTTAATGCAAGACTAATTCATTCCCATATTTTAGGCCTAAAGTCTTAAAAATGTATATAAAAGGATTTTCAATTTTCTTCTATTTCACCGACTAACTCCGTAAACGCTGTTGGATAACGGATATCGTATCCGAATCCGAGTCGAACGTCTAGCTCGAATGTTCTGAATAGCTCGGAAAGCGCCCTTCGATTCGAGAACGATATCCAATAGAACGATTCGGTGAAAATATCGAAGAGTTCTGAATAGGGATCCAGGTCAGATCCTATCAATACAATGACAATACTTTTGGTGTCTCCCATATCTAACGGGATCTTTCACTTTCTATAATTACCTGTCCTCAGAAATAGTGACTGCAATCTTCTGGAGTTCACCGCAGATTTTGACCTTAGGCAACCTCGGGTCATCAGTGATGAGGCATTTCTGGATATCTATGACGAGACTGGTTGGTTGCAGCATGTGGAGATGAGTGGCCGTGTTCGATGCTATCGCCGTCCTCCAGTCCTCCTTACTGGTCGCTATTACGATCTGGTAGTAGTACATTAAAAATTGTTGCATTTACATTGATTTTCATTGAATATGGCTAAGCAAAAGATTGTCGTAATTTACTCAATTGGATTAAAAAGTTCATGTTCTATGTTGTGATGTATAGATTGAGTATACAACAGAAATAGAGACGGAATAAGGTCCATCCATCCCTGGCAACTCATCAGATAAATGGGCCTTATATCATTATTAAATATCAACTCTCGTTTGAGCTGAAATCATAAATTAGAAAACTGAAATAGTACAGCGCCAACAACTGACCTGTGTGTACGTCTCTATATATTACAAAAATATTCTGTATTTATTGTATGTTCTGTACTTATCTGTATAAATACAGATCCTTCCAGAGGCCATCATTCGCAGTGTAGCGAATGATGGCCTAAACCCTTTCGCAGGCGAGGGTTTAGGCCATCATTCGCTACACTGCCAAAATGCGGGTTCGGGACTACAAACTTTTCCGAGGGTTGTGGACCTTCTTCGACGTGCAGGTTTCATCGCGGTGTTTTCCGAAAAGCTCAAGGTAAATTTCAAATAAATTTCAAATTAAAATTTGCACTTAAATATCACTTGTGTTTGTACAATATGTGTTTTAAATACGTATTCTGTTGCGCCCTCAATTAATTACTATCTCAGTTTTTCCTACCAAAACCGGTTTTTTAAACCGAAGGTCGCCCGGAAGAGATTGCTATATAGCAATAAGGCCGCCTGTTGTACCTGTCTTGTTATTTTTTGTATTATTTTGTATTTGTCCCAGTGTGCAGAATGTTTGTATTGTATTAAACTCCGAGAAACTCACGAAGTGCGAGCGCATAAGAGGCGGTAGATCAAACCATTAGGCAGGCTACCACGATTGTCATGAAAGGAGTTGACCTGTGTTTACCTGCATGTCGGTAAGTTCGAGCGCGATGATGTCGTAGCTATGTCGAAAGATCTCGCGCATGATGGCCTCGTCGTCGTTGCCCTCGCGGTGCAGCTTGTGCACATCCAGCGAGCTGTCGCGCGGCGTCGACCTTACGGAGATCGCGCCCAGCTTCACTACCAGACACGCTTCGTCGCTGAATAAAACATCAAAAGTAAAAATAAATAATGTTTTACGGATGTTATGTATCCAGATTTGCATAACACACATACCTAAAACGTCGGTTCAATGCACTTGCATTCGCGCACCCCGGAACGCGCGCCCCGTGCATTGCAACGTGACCGATGCAAAACTCGTCATTTTAATTATAATTATGAGACACTTTTCGGCCCAACGTTCCTAACATCGGACGTAGACTAAATTTCTTTAGTTAAGATCTTTTTCGTATAAGTACGTTTAGACCTAACGTACCTAACTTCGGACGTTCTTAAAATTATTTAGTTTAAGAAATACCTTTGTGGAAATTTAATATAGTTATTCATCATATTTTCTCGTCTTTACTTCATCTCCACTGCGGCCACCCTATATAATTCGGAAAATAACATAATAATATAACAAAAATAGAATACAATTTCTATTTTTATTATATTATTACATTTTTTTCCATTTTCATTATTGTGAAACAATTTAAATAGGGCACGCCAAAAATGGCTCAACATCTAAGGACCATGGGAGTACATATTCAGTCCCAAAATTTTAGCTTCAAAAGAATCTCCGCGAAAGTGTAACAGAATAAACAATGTAACAAATTTTAATCGACGACAATTTGTTTAAATTTAATCTAAGTTTAATTGTTCTTGTATGAAGCCATGCCATGCATGAAGTAACTGATGGGAGTGGGGTAGATGAAGGAAATTTGTCAGGAATGTAGCAGGTGGTCAGGAGATCCATGGAAGATTCCATGAGTAGGCAGATGCCTACCCCAGTGGTAGACAGGCGCGATAACACATATGTGTGTTTGTAACAAAAGATTCACTTAAGTTTAATGTAAATGTTTGTTTACTGTTTCGATAAAAAAATACCATAAAGTTGACAAGTTCCATGTGCCTGTAATTTCACCAGCACCCTTACCCTTCTAAACCGGAACGCAGTAATGCTAACAATACTGCTTGGCGGCAGAAATAAGTAAGGTGGCAGTACTTCCCTGGACGAATTCTTTCACAAGGAGCTCTACTGCTGCTTAAAATGATTGGTGATTTTTTAAATTTGTATGAAGAATTGAAATTGTACCCTACAAAATTCTTTGAGTACCCTCGAATATCCGTGTCAACATTTGACTACATCTTGAATAAAATACCACCTAAAATCAACAGAGAAGATACAAACTTTCGCAACTTTGCGCCGCGTGAGCGACAAAACTAAACTGGTTTGATACCTCCGCCAACCGCTCATTAGATCGCTTGCTGACTAGGCTCGCACACCTAAAGGGCTCATTCAGAGTGCAGGCGCAGGTGCGGCGGCGGGTGCGGGCACGCGGGTCTTGGCGTCTTCCCTTTCACAGTGCCGAAGTGGCTATGAGCGGGAGATCCATCCGTCGAAATCTCAAACATGCGCTAGACGCTAGACCGAGCACTGTTACACGCACACACACACGCACACGCACACGCACCCGCACCCGCGCCTGCACACGCACACGCACCCGCACCCGCAACCGCGCCTGCCGCCACTCTGAATAAGGCCTAGAATGTTCAAAACTATCGCAAATGAATGATAATAACTAATAACGTACCCCTTATATTTTCCAGATTGGGGAATAATAATGTAGGAGGAGGCAATGTCGACGTCGATATCAATGAATGTGTGCTGATGCACAGCGTACTGCATTCCCAGCGCCGATTTCTCCTTTATCTCTGATAGTTTGTTCTCGGCTTTGGCTTGTAAACTGTAAAAGAAAACAAATTGTCAAGGCGAGATCAGTTTAATAAGAATAGTCTTTACATTAATTTTCTAAATTTTAGATTTGTCATAGATGGCGCTACGGCTAGAAAGTCGTTGAATTCAACCAAATACAAAGATACGACAACAACCACATAGCAAAATTCGTGAGGTCCGCTGGTTCGTTCCATGGCTTAGTTGGCATATCGTCTGGCACGGTTTGCTAAAAGACGTCGGTTCGAATCCGGCCGGATCGAAGGAATTTTTTTAAGTGTTCGATCTTTGTATTAATATCTATAACAAACTAGTGGTGTTATTACACATAAAAAATAATTGAATATCAATTCAATAAAAATCTTAATTTTTATTGTATATGATACGAATAGTTAAAACATACAATTTGAACATCGTCCTCATCATCATCATCATCCTGTAAAGTTGTCAGAATTGAGATAGTACTGGTTGCCAGTTCACAGTCGATATCTCTCCTTTATTTAATGCCGTGTAAACAACATAGACAAGCATCAAAGCGAATAAATAAAAAGTGTCACAAATTGAAACTTCTAATTAACAGAAATTTATTAGCTGGACACTCACGTGGAGAGCGCTGAAGAATCTGAAGGCGGCTTGAACACATTGACAATTTCAATGACCGTTTGTGCGTCGTACACGATTTGCAACGGCTGAGCGGACACCTTTACCTTTTGGTCACATCCTCCCTCTGAAAATAAACCATTACTCAAACTACTACCGAGCTGTTGCCCAAAACGGTTGCTTCTGAACATAGGGGGTCAGAGGCCGTAGCATGGCAGTATGTGTGATAAAAACCTCCCCGCGACATTATTTATTTCAGTTGATCAAACTAAATTTGAAAAATCTTATTTGGTAATGAATCATTGTTATACATTTTGAAGAACAAGAACAACGATATGAAATTTCGTATATAGCTAGGTATCTTTGTCGTTTAATCATCACTGCAAAAACGATGAAGCAAAAAATGTCGGGTTTTTGTGGTTTCTGTTTTTACATTATATTAGTTATTATTTATGTATTTCTAATTACTCTCATGTATTGAACAGTATTAAAAATGTTCTCCTCACCTTTTTCCAATAATTTGTATAATAATAATTTGTTTCTTTTTATTAGTTCTTTACATCTCGTTTGTCGCGCGCAATTTTTACGTTGATAAAAATACTATGCAAAACTGTCAAAATGTTTTAAAATCAACTGTGACCTTGCAGCCATGTTTGGCACTGTGTTAATCTTTAGCAGTCATTAGTCGCAGCGCTTACGATGACATACAAGTGCGACATCACGACTCGAATTCGAGAGCTAAATGTGGATATAATAACTTTATTGAGGTGGCATACTACGGGGGCAGGTCAACATAACTTTTATTTTTAATAGGAAATGAAACTATTTTTCCGAATTGTGTCGCGTATATTTGTATTTTCAAACAAACCAACGTTTCACACCCTTTACAAGTCCCATGGTCACAGTTGAATGACACGATTTAAATCCGGAAAAATAGTTTCATTTCCTATGTGTAACAATCGCGAAAACCAAAGAATTTAATTTTTAAGTTACGCGTTTCGTAAAAGTTAACAGCAACACCAGCTACTGGTGAACGAAGATATGGTGATAAAACTTGTGTGTCGAAGAAAGTTCACAACCACGTTGGAATACGTGGTATTTTTAAAATTAACAATTCATTTATTTCGAGTAACATTGACTCATACAATTTGTTAGCAAACCACTTAACACTAATATTAACATGGTACACAATAGACACTGCGGGAAACATAAATTCACAACAGGCCCTCTATTCTCGTTCACCCTCCGACATTCGTCAGAAACAAACTGTCAAATAAGTAATACTCGACAAATTAAAGATGAATGTTGCGAATAAAGCTTCATACTTTACATTGTCTTTTAATTCGGTCGAGTATTTCTTATTTGACACTAAGTAATTGTTTCGGATGGATGTCAGACGGAAAACAAGAGTGCAGGGCCTGTTGTGAATTTATGTTTAACTGCCTCGGTGGCCGAACGGTTGCCATGCCGCAGAGGTCTCAGGTTCGATTCCCGGGCCGGGAGAAATATTTGTATGGCCTACATTTATTTCTCTCGTGAGTTTGGGTGTAGTTTGTGGTTGTCTATCTGTGTGTCCATGGCACCCGCGACACAGGGTTTCCCTAGTGCGGGGCTATGTCGAGTATGTATGTTTACCGCAGTGTCCATTGTGTACAATTTTCTATAGTCTATTGAGTACCTAAAGGATTAGTTTCAAAGGAGACGTTGAGCAGGTTGACGTCTTGCGAAACCTCCTTGGAGACGACGAGCTCAGGCACAAACTGGCCGTCATCCTGGTGCACGCCCGTTACCGTGAACGAACGCATTTGCACGTCGACCCTGAAAGCACCACAATTAATGTATCGGTTAAATAAATAAATAAAAATAAAAATATTAGACAACATCACGTACATTGCTCTGATTCCAAAGTAGCTAAAGCACTTGCGTTATGTAAATCGGAAACAACGACGGTATCACAAACACCCAGACCTGAGACAATATAGAAAATTTAGTTTTTTACATTGACCCGGCCGGGGATCGAACCCGGGACCTCAGCAATAGCTACACCATGGAAACCGGTGTCCAAGCCCCCCCGACCATGGGGAGGTCTATAAACAACTTTATAACATCAGATAAATAAGTTTATAATACAATCTCAATTTTCATTAAATTACACATAATTATGTTGTTTTAACTTTTTTAATGCCTTTTTTTTTTTTTTTCGTCGTTCTTTTGTTTGACAGATTATGTCACTTGTTGTGACATCTTGACAAGATACGACCAGGAGTCTCTGCGTAACTTTTCGTAGGTCAAGGAACAAATATTAAGAATAAATATTTTATTGAATGTCAGGATATTTTACCACCGTGATATTCAATTACTTTTTGTGAAATTACTACGCTAGTTTTATTATAATTATTAATACAAAGATCGAACAGTCTGAAAAAATTCCTTTCACGGTTTGCTAGAAGACGTCGGTTCGAAACCAGCCGGATCGAAAGGATTTTTTCTGAGTGTCCATGTTTGTATTAATAATTATAACTAGTGCAGTAATTTCCCAAAAAATATCACGGTTGAGAAACATCCTGACATTCAATAAAACATTTAATCTTAATATTAGGCCCTTGACCATTAACCTTGGCGTACGATAAGTTAAGCAGTGACTCCTGGTCGTGGTTTTTTTTAATTAGACTAATCTAGTAATAATTATAACAAAATATTAAGATTGCTAATAAAAATGCCTTAAATGATTTATGAGCATTAATTCAAACTTAACATTGAACATAGTGTATGTTATTCCTCAAAACAACAATAAGCGACACGCCTGTCCATAGCAGTTGTAGTGCCAATCAGAGCTTTGAACCACAAAGATTTGAGACATAAGCTGACAAGTCCCATGTGCCTGTAATTTCACTAGCACCCTTGAAAAATAAATGATTTTTCTTCCGTCTAACGAATGAAAAAGATTTTCACAATCGACAAGGGCTTAATTAAACTGAAACGACTTTGTTTATTTACAAAGAAAGACTCATGATAACACATAAGTAAAGTGAAACAATATATACCATACATACATATACTTCACGCCTTTTCCCCAATAATAAACAACAATATATCGACAAAAATTGTGAAATTTTTAGATATATCAATTTAATAATGCAAAGTACTAAATCAGCACCCATTGAACTTGTAAAACTTGAAATCTACGCTCTCAAAGTGGTTACGATCATTGATTATGAGGATACAGAACGTCTTTTAGAAGCATTTGGCCAGACCGGCAAAATGATAGTGACGGAGTGAAGATATTGTGTTTTCCATCCGTTACTCTCATCTCTGGACTGTATTCGCACTTTCCATCAGGCGCGGTGCAGTCATTTTGCGGAGTCACAATAAAAAAAAAAAGTGCTAGAATAATTCTACATCAAAAATAAACACGAAATCCCTCACAAATTACTTACACATTATTACTTAAAAGGGATTCTCGAGGCACAACATTTTAAAGATTGTGTCTTAAAATAAAACATTTTTGACCGATTTTTTTGATTTTTGATTATTGATATTTTTAATAATACCTGTCAGGTGAATCAAGGCTTAAAGTAATGCTGATATGTCAATAATAGTACCGTCGCACGATGATCACTAACTAATCCCAATTTGACAAACTATATCTATAATCGTAAACTGCGAATTCTGCTTTGATAACCAAGTTTTCTATACCAAAATAAAGCTAGGTTACTTTAAAATATGTATAACAATAAAGAAATTAAATAGGATAATAAATATTGAAAATATAATACCTAATAGCGTTGGCACTAGGGCGCTGCTTCATAGACAGTTCGACAATATCGACACTCGCTTGAAGTACCTCACAATAAGGCGATTCTGTGATCGACAAAACCAGTCGATCAAGTTTGAAATGAGTCTCCACCGCTATGTATTCGGTGGGCAAAAATAATGGTGCACTGTTCTCCTGGTAATCTATGGCACGGAACAGCTTCGCTTTCTCCTCTGGTGTCATGGCTTTCTCGAATTGTTTTACTGTAACGAAATATTTTAAAAGTAAGACCACAGATAATAACATTGTACTCTGCCTTCGGAACGAAAAAAGGCACAACTGCTGTGTAAAGTACGCATAGTGGTGCCTTATTTCGTTACGAGGGCAGTACTGTTCTACACAAGTTTACAAAAAAAATCGTTTTCATAACTGAGTGAGAGATGTTCGACTTATGACAGATATAACAATATCGCATCTACGGTGAAATACAGGCTTCACATCACATCATTCATTTCTTAAACTGCCTCCGTGGCCCAAAGGTTACCATGCCGGACTGCCACGCAGAGGTCTGAGGTTCGATTCCCGGGCCGGGAGAAATATTTGTATGGCCTACATTTATTTCTCTCGTGAGTTTGGGTGTAATTTGCGGTTGTCTAAATGTGTGTCCACGGCGGGGTTATGTTGAGTGTGTGCGTTATTATTATTCAATTTTCCATAAAGGACGAAATGCTTACTGAAATAATATAACATTTAAGAACTCCGTAGCCCTAAAAACAAAAATAAAACTTAACCCGTTTTACTGTAATATTTCGCAAATTTAAGTTAAGACACTGTTCCACCGGTGGTGCGATATAACAGTCAGAGTAATTCACATAAACAAAACAATATTTGAGCTGAATGCGCATTTTCAATACTGTACACGCCCTTTTCATTTTCGTATCCTTGGAACCTACACTTCTACCTATCGGACCGCGTCTATGGCGACGCTAATGTCATGGACATGGACATCGATATCACCGACTCTGATAACAGAAGCCTTAATGGTTAAGGATAAAAAAACCAATACGAGACATTATCAAAGAAGAGCTAGACACAGTTCAAAATATCGTAACAATGTAATTTCACCTTTAAAGAATTTACAATTTAAAGAATTTATAGAATATAATTTTGCTGGTGAAATTACAAGCACATGGGACTTGTCAACTTATGTTCCTATAGTGACGGGCGCAGTGGTAGTGCCCCTCAAATCTTTGCAATTTAAAGCTCCGAGTGGCACTGTAACTGTTATGGACAGGCGTGTAGCTTACCGTCAGGCGCACGACTTGTTTGTCCCGTCACTTGATGTTATTATAAAAAAGAAAAAGCTCTATTGGGTAACAGTGAGTGGTTTAGAAAGCCGTAGTAACCTAACGATTTGACCTACCGCCTCTCAAGCAGAGGTTGTTGATTGGAAGCCGGGCTCGCACAATATTTGCGAAAAATAATTTTTGAAATTTCATGGTAAATTTCAAGCTCTTCGGTGAAAGAAAACATAGTGATGCACGTCGAAGAAGGTTCACAACTCTCGAAAAACGTGTGTAAGTCCCCAACCCGCATTGAGCCAGCGCGGACTATGGCCTAAACCCTCGCTGGCGAGGAGACCCGTACCCAGTAGTGGTACGTATAAATAGGTTGATGATGAAGTGAAGACGAGAAATCGATAACAAGATTTACAAAACCTGTACAGACGACAATGTGCGAACAGTCTCAATTGCGGAGATTTCGTTACTTAATGATTGTGTTTGTGCAAAATTATTATCGAATAATTACCGGGCCATTTTTTACGGTTGAAAACATTTTTATCCGGTAGTCTTTTCCATAATTTGGAGAATGTAGCTAGGTATGACGCTGGGAGAGAAAGGGTAGAAGGTGGACCTATGAACCAATAAGGGTCTTTCTGTATTGCCAACAAGAGCTCCTACCATTTGGTATATTATTTTCAGAAAGGGACCTCCCCGCACGACGTGCTACTTCCTACACGTCTGGTGCAACCTGGGCAAAAACAAACTTACTCCAATTAGCAAATGACGATGGCAAACATTATTAGTGGGAACTAACCTATTATGTGCAAAGGCAGCGGACAGAGACTATAGGTATATGTTTAATACATATTGAAGTACGTCATTCACGCCACCTTCGAGCACTTATACTTAATACTTCTTCTTGTCGAGTCAATGACAAAAACCAAATAACCAGTGTTAGATTACTTTAGCCCAGTAAGCAGCCATCTCCATGCCCCTATCCTAGCCTTTAGCAGATCTTCGCGGGTGCAGCTGGTCGGACATAGTGGGCATTTTGAGTCGAGTTAATATAACCCTATTTCACCATGTTGACCAATTATATATCTATATTTCGAGACCAAAGAAAACAGTCCAGTAAAGATCCCAAAATTAATTAAAATTTCAAAAACGTTTTCAACGATTTGTTACTACTACATAGAAATAAAAAAATCGAATCACACGTGCACCGTACGTTCATGGCCCTAGGGCGCGTCAGGCGCGCGTTTCAGTGTGGCAGATGAACTCTGCCACACTGAAACGCGCACAAACTCGTAAATTACAAAAATTCCCGCGCCCGGAACGCTTCCGTGGCCGCCTCTGTGTGGCCAGAGCATATTTTTTTAAATTTATTCATTTGCATTCAGGTAACAAAGACCCATAAATACATAACATATAGCCTAACATACATACTAATAATACAATAAAAACACTTCTGACTAATTATTATTTACACGTATTGACTGCGACGTGTGACGCAACATGGGTATCCGATAGCCGGTCACGGAAACGTCGGTACATGACCCCCTTCGGCCAAAACTCATTATCATAATGCAAGAGTTTCATTTAAAAAGCGGACACTTAAATTTTTCACCACGAATAAGATATAATTGCAAGCATACTGTTTAACTGAGTCGGTTCCTGAGGTAGCTGCGCGTTACAGGCCTACGGCTTAACTGAGTAGGTTTCTGAAGTGGATGCGGTGTGCGGGAGGAGTGACAGTTTATGTATCAATTATGTCGCGTTGCACACGGGAAAATTTCAATAAGATTTTTCTGACAAAAGACAGAAAGAAAAAGTGCCTTCCAAATCAGACAATTGTTGTTACGTTAAACGATAATAAAAAAAACTATTTCATTGATAACTGCAATGAATAGACAGCCATTTGGCATTTTTTTCAATCAACTTGTTATTGAATAAAATCCTGTGTGCAGCACCACATAACTGTTACGTAAACTGTCAGTCCTCCCGCACCCCGCATCCACTTCAGAAACCTACTCAGTTAAACCGTAGGCCTGTAATGAAATATAATAAACAAACAAAAGTTTTAGACAATCAAGAAGCAATTAATAGATTCAGGCGTTACTTTGCGGTAGTCCATGTTAATAAAAATGGAATAAATTAATTTGTTATTACGGGTATTTTCGAGTTTCAACAATAGTAACACCGTTACCCTACCCTATCCCCAGGGCATACATCCTCAGAAAGCCTCGTGGAGAGGCGAAACACTTTGGTGGTGGTGTTTGTGACTGTAGTTGCGCTTGTGTTATTTATTTCATTAATTTTATGCGGAGGGAGGGTGGGAAAATTAACTGCATGAAAAGATATTCAACACAAGCGCAGCTCTTTTGCACGAATTAACCTTCACTGGGTAGCGTTGTAGCAAATTAATTTATTTCCATTTTTATTAACCAGGAAACAGTCACGTGTGGAATATTATGTTGTGTTTAGTTAAAGTAACAGAGCATGTACTCACTAATATCATTCTCGTTAGTGCCAGATTCATCCTTGGAGCTGCTACCGTACCACCATCCGCTGAACCATCCGCGGGCTTTACGCGCTTCTTCGTCTTCCTTGCCTTGTCTTTCAACCTTAAATGATAAACATACCAGATGATCATAGCAATCAATACATATGACTCACTGCTGGGCACCTATAAGTTTATGGCCAAGCTGTCAAATTTGAGCTCTGATAAATTAGTTAGAAAGCGTTGACAAAGGTCGCTTCAGGGTGTCTTTTTTGAAAATGAAGTAAAACGACATCTATAGGGTTGTCAGTTTTCTTCAAATTTTAAATAGTCATGTAGTTGTTGTCGACAGTTTTATCGGTAGATCGTGAAAGTATGTAAAATTTTGTGAAAAATTTCTGAATCGTGAAAGTTAGGACGTTCAAATGTTTACTAATTGCGTTATTATATTCTTTATTATTTTGACACTTAGTTTGGAGTTTTACTCTGTTCTATTGCTAGGGTAGGACCAGCAAAGCGCGGTTGTTTATTTCTTATCTTATTAATTTTATTTTTTACAGTTTAGGAAAATTGACAGATTAATAACAATTACACTTACACTTAAAAATTTAGCAAACAACATTAAGGGCCTTAACAAAAATAAAGAGAAATCAATAAAAAAACACAATTTCACAAAAACTACATACTGAGAAATTAAACAAATTTAAACAAGAAAAATACTAAAGAAAATTTGGGTACCATCACACAAAAGTAGGATATCATCGCCAGTCACGTGATGTGTCAAAGTATTATTTGATCATTTCCCGCCTGTCAGTGTCTATGTTTGTACAGACCAAATCACACGACTTGCTCGTCTTGTCACTTGATATTATTTAAAAAAAATCATAGTGATCTAATACTGTATTATTAAAAAGTCAAAATATTAAAATATGAATGGTACCTTACCTCCATTTCAATCTGCTGCCTAATAACAACCAGATTGAAAATATCAATAGTCTTCTCGCAGTCCTCTAAAAGCTTCAGTTGTTCCTGGGTAAGTTTCCCTTTGTTACTAGTGAGTTTGGCACGGTACACCGCCGCATACGCTCTGCAAAGGTTCCTGTGCTGTTTCATATGACTCCACAGCCAGTTTCTTCGGCGACGTCGGATTTCTTCCTCTAATATACATGTGTAGGCGAAATGCCACCATTGTTTGTAGTTTCCTTTGTACTTGAAAACGTGTGGTCGGTATTTTCTGTAAGACAAAAACAAACAAATAAAAGTGAGACAGGTTAGTTTATAACAGACGGCATGTTGCGAAACAACCAATGAGAAACGTCTTGAATTATTTAAATATAGATGAAATATTCATTGCACTTTAATATCAATGATAATTGGTAACACTGAGAAGTAATTCAAGAATATTAGAATAAGCTAATGTATAACCAGCGGCATTATTGTTAAGTAGCAAATTTGTCCAAGCAACCTAAGGATAGAAAATTACCCACAAATATACGCGATTTAAATATCGCGAATAATCGAACCCTGCAGTAAATTATTACGAAACGCATCCGAAAAATGGGAAGCAACGTCTTTGTTTGTATGTTTTTTTTTCGCTAACAATACCATAAATATATTAAACGGTATGTTCCATCTAAAAGTCAAGTTTGATGAAGTCATAGCTCATGATAGTACAGGCAATTAGAATGCCAAACAAACCTGTAAGGAGCGCCTTTGCTCATTCTGTCCATTGAGTCAGCCAATAGCATCATGTCTCGATATTGTAGCTTAGTCAAACTTACAGAGAGCTGATCCATGTGCAAAGTGAGAATTACTTTCGGTATACTGAACTTGGGAACGTCCAGTTCTGGTTTCGGATTCAGTTTTAGCTTCGCTGTTGCATTTATAGGACCTAAAGCTGCAATTATAGGTTGTTAATAAATATACTTAAGTATTGAAATATAAACACCATATTACGAAAAAAAACATCGAGTAAACATTATTGATACTTTGGGAAAGAAAGGGGCCAGTACTACGCTATAATATTGACGCCTAAGATAAGTTAAGCATGAAAAATGTTTATAGGCAAGGATACAAGCTAGACGAGGCTGTGTATCTCTTACGTTGTTGTTAAGTTGTTAAAAGACTAAATCGACTGAATATTCGTTCAACACTAATTTAATTGCCTGTACATGCGCCCAGTTAAACAAACGGCCGTGGAAAGTAGAGCGCAAATTAAGCTAAAGTACGGAGGTAAAGGTGAGTTCTTGATGTGGTTAGGTTAGGTTATGCTACTGAACTTCACAGTTGAGTGGATGCTGTGCTGGCCTCCATGGCCCCTGTGTAGCGGACTCGGGGGAGCTCGTTGCCCAGCATAAAGGAGCCCGGGATGGAAGGCTCGTCTGTTGTTCGGCGAGCCTACATTCGGATTGGGGGGAACGATGTGCGTTCCTTCTAGGAAGGGGTTGCACAGTTCACGATCGGCCACTGGTGGGGGCGCGAATGAGTGCAATAGCCTCCTACACACCTCGAGGTTATGCTCCTTCTGCCCGTAAACTTATAATTTGGTCATTCGCCCAAAAAAGCATATAAACTAAAAAGTTTATAAATTGATTGTTTTTCTCGTCTCGGAAAACAATCAATTTATACACTCGTGTTATAAACTTTGTACTTTGGTACTTTTCTTATAATATCAAGTGACGGGACGAATATTTACTCCCTCTCTTCCCCGAAGTATCGATATTAACAATCATATTAAGATTACGTATTTAAAAATTAAAGCCATAAAAATGCGACTCCAAATATTAGTAATAATGAAAGGCTAAGAAATAATTTATCAAAATAAAGCAAATTTTGTCTGTTTTTAAAACACACAAAGTGTCACAAATTACAGCGTTTTTCAACTACCTTGTTGTTAAAATTCATGCGTAGTAATGATTGTAATGAAGCAGCTGAACTGAATACTAAGTACTCTTCTTCTGCATCAAGTGGGTTCGAAGTAGTGAAGCAACTGCTTACATGATCCGTGATTTAGAAATACACTTACTGTAAGCATAGTCTGGAGGCACGAACGACTTGGTCGCGATTTCTGTCTGAAGCCTCTTCTGAATGGATGGCGCATCGCCTTTCGAATAAAGCTCTCTGCCTGAATTCCAGTAAACCGCTAGACCTTCTAAGTTTAATATCTGCAAATTGTCAAAAAAGTACTTTTAAAAAACTATATTCTCATTATTAATACAAAAATCGAACACTTAAAAAAAATCCTTGGAATTGGCTGAATTCCAACCAGCGTCTTCCAGCAAACCGTGCCATTCGCTATACCAACTAGGCCATGGTACGAATTAACGGACCTTACGAATTTTTCTCTGAACTCTTGAAGTCTATTACTTCAATTAATTAATTAATTAATTAATAATTACAACAAAATCAATAAACTTAATTACAACTATATTCTCATTTTCTATAAATTCTGGTTCGACACTCTTTCGACGATAAGTAAAAACATAGGTAGTCAAGCAACATTTCCAACGGCAAATAATTAAGAATGAACAGGAATATTCACGATTTTTTTTATAGAATATTATAGTACATAAAAATGAATTTCCTTCCCAAACAATAGTGTTCGTCTTTATGTTCCGACTTCATAGTATAACCGATAAATAGTAGGTACCTACATTATTGCAGAGGCCGGGAAATAAGGCATTGCTGGACGAATATGAGTTGCAAGGCCGAGAGCACCAGCTCGCTTTTCTCAAACAATGTGAGAAAACAATAACAGACACAAAATGACGATGTAGAATAGAAAACTTAAAAAAAAAATAATTTAAATTAAAAGTAATATTTGTACTAAAAAGTAGTTAACATTAGTAGGTATTTTTAATTCTCGCAAGGACGAACATTGAGCAGTCGGCTGAATGAATTTTTCTTTTGCCTGACCAATGGACAGTAATGGATTTTCATACTTACTTTACCGTGTTCGTTTTTTGAAAGTAATGCAAAAATTTCCGAGCATGTTTGAGTAAATTGTAATATATGACTATAATCTGTTTTTATTTATATAATTACTGATGAAAATATACTAGCCGTTTAAATTTGTTTCATGAGCTGTCTTACACATTTGAATACCTATCGCCGCCTTAGGGAACTGTATAAAGAAAATATAAAGGTTGTGCTATCTCACCTTGAAGATCTTAGTAACAGCGTCCTGAATAACAGTTTGTTTCCAATTTTCGTCCGTAGTATGGACAGAGAGGTTGTGGAGGGTGATACCAAATGAGAACGGCGATTTAGGATTCGTGACACTGTCTTCGTAACGTATGTGAATGTCTGTGATCTTCAGTTGCACATTTTTGATTATTTGTGTAACTAATTTCTCCACGAATGTCTCGTCCAATTTTAATTCTGCATCAAATTTTTTTATGAGTATAAAGCCATTTCCGGAAAGCTTACCGAGCGCTTATATTTCAATGTGCGCTCCTAATTGGCGTGGTTATGACAGGAGCGGGAAGTGATCGTTTCGGTTTACGGTATACCGCACCAATTAGGCAACGCACACTGAAATATAAGCGCTCGGTAAGCTTTCGGTACCGATACCGCACCGACAAATCAGGAAACGGTCTTGGATTCAATTTTTATAAACAAACTTCAAAGGAAAATTCCATCAATATTAAAAACTATTCTGCGCTCCTTATCATTATAGGAGGGCAGTTTTGCTAAAAGCTATATTTAAAGGAAACGACAATGTGTATTAAGTACATTGTGTATTAAGGCCGACAATAAGGAGTTACGAACGAAACTATTAGAAGCCCGAAGTCGAAGACTGAGTGCTTTCGGAGTCGAGGTCCGTAATTGCCGTACTGACCGTGAAACACACAATGTTATTCATCACATTTGCAAGTCATTAGTATGATTGCATGCAGGCTAACTTGACTGTAATGCTCTCCTCACCTTTCCTTCCACATTCGCTCTATAAATTTTTGCCGTTAATTCACTGACGTCTATCCTTTCCATATATTAACAAACTATCGACGCATTCCTTTTTATACCCTAATCACCCTACATCATCTATGATACTACAACATTATTTCATTTTACAGAATATTATTGAAGAAGGCATCCTTTGTAGGTTTTGTAGTGAATAAGTAAAAAAAACAACTGATGGTTGCGGTCTGATAAGACGCATTATGGAATATTAAGATCTCATGCACTCTAACAATAACAATAAAAAAAACCTTTCAATATATCTTACAGAAAGACAGCTGTAATAATTTGGATGCTACACGAAAATACTTGCGATGCGAAAAAATAGCTGTTCCGTGCAAAATATTCATACGCACAACATGACCACTAGCGTGGTACAGCTGTTCCAGAAAACTATTTGGATTATTCGCAATTCAGGATTCGACGTGTAAACAACTCACAAGGTACATTTAACTGTGATCAGACAGAAATAAGAGTACCTTTCTCTTTCTCCTTTTTCTTGGCTTCTTCGACCCTAGCAAGTTCGCTTTGCTTAGCAAAGAATGCAGCCTTCTCCTCCTTCTCAGGGTCATATACCACTTCGGCGTTGGGGTTTAATACGAGAAACAGACGTTCAATCGTCGCCTCCACTGACGCCCCGTATAGATTCTTCCATGGTATTTTCAGCACCAGTTTCCCTGTAACATTTATATAATACAATAAATAAATGTATAAATTTACTTTTTTTGTTAAGTGACTTGTGTTTATTTCCCTTCGGAAAGATGTTGTAGGCTTCGAATGTGTCATCACAGTTTTTTTAGCATTACAGAAAGAAAAATTGAAAGAGATAATCTGGATGCAGTATGTATTTCTTTCCGTATATACCAAATAAATCCTTCTGCACATGAAGCCACCCAGATTGTATTTATCACAGTACACTATTATACCAAACTAATGGTGTGTTAAAATGTAGATCGTTTTACAAACAACGTTTACCACAAGTGGTTATGTAAACGACATATAAATGTACTACAATAGTGTTCTTTTTAAATTGTTTTTATAAAGTTAACTAATAACGGCGGTTAAGGGACCATGATGTTTTGCACGAGACGGACTTCGTTGTACCGTGTTTTATAGTGTTTTATTATGAAAAGCAATCTAGTAAATATCCGCATATCATTAAGCGACGGTTATGGCTATATATTACAGGTTAAAAGACAAGTAGTGTAACTCCCGTCAGTTCAGCGCGATTCTGCCTACACGTCGCTCGTAACGTAGGGTTGTCACATTATTATTTGAGTAGTACCTATTGTTGCAGTTATATACAAATATAGGGTTACAAATATAATTTTAAAAACCGAAGTTATTCATCACAGTATTCACGCGCTATTTTGATATACTTTTTGTCAGATGCAGTACTTACGTACTTATTGATATTTTTACACTTGCATCGCAGATTAGTATCTCGATTATGGAAAAGAATATAAAATAGAAATTAAATGCGAGTTTGTATATACATGACGATACAATTACACAACTACACAAGGAAATATACACTTATTTTATAATAGACTAACAATGTTGTATTCCTTGTGAGAGACTAGAGACCGTACTAGGCAAACAAACCTGTATAATATACAAACTTGACACATATTAGTACATTGTGTACCTATTAAGGGTGGTAAATAAAGAATTACGATCGAGACCCTATTAGAAGCCCGAAGTCGAAGACTGAAGGTTTTCGGAATCGAGGATCATTATTTCCGTACCGCCCGTGATACATACAAAGTTTTTCATCACATTTGCGAGTATGATAGCATGCAGACTAACTTGACTATAATGATCCAAATAGAACCCTCGGGCTTCTTTTCTTCTCATTACATCCATAGTCGTGTAGTCAAGTTCGCCTGCACAATCAAACTATACACTATATATATATATAACTATACACTATAAACTATATATATATAACACCGAGCGGACGCTTCAATTCTATAATAAAAGGCGCGTATGACCCGCGCTGTGCAACGCGAGTGCACCGCGAAATTTTACGAATGTGTGTGGCCGGCGACACACGGCGGGCTTGCACGCATAGAGTTACACTACTTGTCTTGTTATACTACATTCCAACTAGCAATCCTCAGTCTTACTTCCCTTCTTCTTCTTACGTTGTACCCGTCCCTGATGCAACAACCCTAGTCCACTTCCCACATACCCCGGGTGCTGCGTCTGCGCGTCGCGTGGGGGGTAATCATGGTCACTATTATCCTTCCTTCCTTATTGTCTTGTTATACTAAAGTATATATTTAGGATTCGTAATATCGATATCGTAAAAAATATTTACAATTTTGAGATAGGGGAAGACTGATAATAACCTATTTATGCCGCCAAATGTAAGTAATAATAATAATAATAATGATAACGCACACACTCAACATAGCCCCGCAATAAACCCTGAGTCGCGGATTAGATGGACACACACATAGACAACCACAAATTACACCCAAACTCACGAGAGAAATAAATGTGCGCCATACAAATATTTCTCCCGGCCTGGGAATCGAACCTGGGACCTCTGCGTGGCAGTCCGGCATGGTAACCGGCCGGCCACAGAGGCAGTTAAAGGCAAGTAAAGGTGCTGGTGAAACTACAAGCACATGGGACTTGTCAATTTTATGTCTCATGGTGACGGACGCAGTGGAAATGCCCCTTAGATCTTTGCGATATAAAGCTCGAAGTAACACTGCAGCTGTTATGAGTGGGCGTGTAGCTCATAAAATTATGAGCATTTTCTAGGCACAAGTTTGGCGGTCTCGGTAGTTCAGCGGTTAGCAATGTAGACACTAGATAAGGATCCTGAATGCGAAATCGACCGCTGTAGCACCAATTTTCAAAACATTTTTCTAGGTTGATTCTGGATCGTCTAGGTTATTATATATATAGTACAGGGAATTCCCCAGTCTGAGATCAGAAAAGTCTAAATAATTGTTTATGTATATATAAACCGTAATATAATATGGCTTCCGTAGCTAAGAGTATTAAGAAAGCCATAAAACACGTCGTAACCATCGCTTCGTAAACTTCCACTACAATAAAACGAAATAACATTTTCAACGATATGGTTAATACAATGTTAACTCGCCTATCAACCTAATAACACGAAATTTAAAAGTAAAGGCTACATGAAAGCCTATGTAATATTTCTCTTCAGATTTACGACCTTATTTATCGAGTTTTTTAACAGGGACCGGGTATAATTGAATCGAGACAAAAAGACATTATTTGCAATTAGATTATATTTGTATTTTTTAAGGCTTACTCTTCGGTATATTATGTATGCAATAGGTACCATATCATTCAAACTACCACCTTGGCTTCGTATGATAGTGTGAATACGAAAGGTCCAATTTTCCATCAACTTTTTGACTTCATGGCACCTCTGTCTCATTGATGACGCGTGTTATGTTAATCCTTAGGTGTTCGATAGTGTATGGCTCGTGCGCACGCACTACTACTACTACGCACTACCTCACCTTCACATAGCCCCACAAAAAACATTAAGATACGTTAAATCATGATCTTGGGGTAATGTTTTGTCCCTGAACATTCAAATCAAAATTGCTCTATGGATTAGTAATACTAATTAGTAATGAATGATCATTCGGATCATTCGAATACGAAAATTAGTAGGTTACTAATTTGTCATTCGAATTACTAACGAGTCGAATATCCAAATCATTCGCAATCGCGCATCGCTAGTTTGGTGACTCATCTGTCAATGCGCCAATAGACAATCTAACATGGCTGCCACCAGCTGTCAAAAATACCGTGTCCCTATTGAAAAAACCCTATATATTCAAGTTAAAAAAATCATATACCTATGATAGACTCATTAACTTAAAAATTATTTTCATAGGAGCTTGCGCCATAGAGATTCGAACCATCGATGTCTCTACTGAGAAACAACTGTTCTTCTACTCTGGGCAGCGGTGTATGTACTACGGTCGCTCTTGTAAACTAGGACTCATCAGAAGGATCACTGGTTAACGCGTAATCGGCTTGAGCCGGTCAGAAGAGGCTCAATAAGAGCTATAACGACATTGAGCATCGACATAAATTATTTTTGAGTGTATGTATGTGGTATCGTAGATTTTGAAGCGCGTGAGGTAGATGCGGAGAGAGATATAAATTCAATGCACGATATTTAAACATAATGCCTTTCAGAAATAAAATATGCTCTTACTGTAAAAAACTTTTAGGAATTCATTAAATTTTTATTGAATTGATATTCAATTATTATTTGTGAAATTACTCCACTAGTTTGTTATAATTATTAATACAAAGATC